GAGAGAGGAGTAAAGGAGGCCATCTTTGTGAAAAGAAATCGTCCATCATTAAACAGGGGTGGAGCCTCCGGGTTCAACTGTCCCCCTCTTACAATGCTGTGATTGCTAGTATCACTCAGCCCTCTGTGAACAGTAAACAGCCATCAGTGTGCTAATGATCCATTGTTAGGCTGATGGTCCTTCTTGAGCATGTGATCAGCTGGTTTTGGTTGTCAGCAGCAAAACTGGTTGATCCAGTCTGAGAAGGTGCTATTTAAGAGACTGAGCTGAATACAGCACCTCAGACTGAGGAAGTCTCTCGGATGAGAGACGAAACGTTTCTTTTTTAGGCCCGAGCAGCGAAGCGCTGCGAAGGCCTATTGTACTCGCTCTGTTCAGGCCCGAGCTGCATCTTTTCCATCAAATGAACTGGTGTTTTTGGCCTTACCAGCTCCCAAAAGTAACCAAATTTGGCGGACACATCAGGACTGGTGAAAAATTACGTATTTTAAAGGTGTAGCAAAAATCGAAACAGAAACGGATCAAGAGCGCCACCTACAAATGTTCAAAATACCGTCCGCATTAACCTTAGTTTGTTGGACAAACATGAAATTTGGTACGCTTGTCCAATTCCACAAGTTGCACAGAAAACCCTCGGGCACCAACGTTGTACGATAAACAGGAAGGCGGCCATTTTGGAATGCCGGCCCAATTTTCACACCTTTTTGCATTTGACAAGGAGCCAATGGAGATAAACTAAAACTGTCACTTCCAGTTCTGTCTCTTGTCTTTTGTCCATCATCATCAGACTTTCTTAAAGTCTTTGTTCCTCTAATTCACAGACGAGGCCCCTCTGTTCCTTGTTCCCTGGCCTCGTCTGTGAATTAGAGTAACAAAGACTTTAATAAACCGCTACTGTTAAGGTGTTTTGGTGTGAATTGCCAATCTACATATGTGTGTGTGTCTTATCTCACTCAGCCTTATAACCTGAATCTCTCACTCTCTGCTCTTTGAATTGAGGAAGCTCCTCGGATGAGGAGCGAAACATCTTCTGTTACAAATAAAGTCCAGTTGTTTTTTGTTTTTTGAATTCATCATGTCCTGGATGACTGAGAATCTTCACCAGCATAATGATTTAAATCTGGATCTAAATAGGATTTATGACTTTATTTTTTATAGTGCCTTGAGATTACTTATGTTTGATGATAAACTAAATGGAATTGAATTTAATGAAGAAAAAGCTGATATACTATCATGTCATTTGTAACATACATGTATATAAACTTTATTCAATCTAATAAAACTCACTAGGAATAAACATAATTGTTTGTATAATCACAAACATCACATACTGAACAACAAAAAAATCATGAATTGTAATTGTCATTATTTTTCTTTGCTTTAAAATACTTGTAAGAGTTTGGGTCTGAAAGCTACAAGTCAGGTATGTCCCCCAGGAAGTCTTGAGTCTTGAGCTGAGGAGACATGTGGAAAATAGATCCACAGATCCAAAGGAAAACGTCTGCACTCAGTTTGTGCAGGAAAAAGTACCTGTGCTGGAGCTGTCAGCTGTTGTTAGCTCCTTGCTGAGCCCGTTAACTCCAGGTAAAGCACCTGGGGGGACAGGTGATGGACCTGCAGGTGCCACAGCTCTTGGAGGACGTTTTCCTGGAACCTTCACTGTCACTCGCAGCAGGTCAATTTCCTTCCCATGGCTGTTCTGGGTATAGTCCTGAGAATGACAAAATATTGCACATTTTTACTTCTAATAAAAGTCACAGTGAGGTTTTCTGAAACATTGTTTAGATGACATTCACACTGCAACTGTCAGGAGAAAGCAACACAATGTAGTGAACTAAGCCTCAGGTCAAATCCTGACCTTGAGGGCCTTCCTGGGACAAGAACTGTATTTCATTGATTTGAGTCCAGAAACACAAAATTAAGTTCATCCAGAGACTTTCTAAGTGTGTCCTGCACTGATCAATTGAAAGAACACTCTCTTTTTATTATCATTACTATTTTACAAATGTCTTGATAATCAAAGTGCGTTTAGTTCAAACCATTTTAAATGTTGAAGTGAACTACTTATTTTAAATCAACTGTGAAACAGTATTAATGATTTTTTAATCCTCATTCAAAGTAGAAATCAAGTTAAAATGTGTTACAGAGTAATTATGCATTTTCTGATTTTCTGTCTGAAATGAGCAAGTGTAAGTTGGTCCAAGGTTGGAGACAAACGCAAACAAGTTTGTTGGAACGAACTGTCATGTTTTTAAATCCTCTCAGACGTAAATAGAGAAGCTGGCACCTGTTTCCTCCCAACTCGCCTAAACATTTCTCTTGTCTGTCTCAAAAACATTTTCAGTCTGTTCCAAAACATTTTTCTGTTTTTCTGACTTTTAATAACCTCTTACATCACTAAAACACACCCCTCTTCGGTCGATCGACCAATCAGGAAGTTCTCAAATGAACCGGAAACAGAACTCTTTAAATGTCGACACTTCCTAGTTCCAACCAGTAGAGTGCGGTGGGAGAGCAGTTCAGTTCGGGGAGCAGAACCGAACAGAAAAAGTGCTGGAGAGAACAGGAGGTTCCAGACATGATCCGAAGTTCTTCCGAGTCTTGTGGGAATTATGCAATCTTCCACATCTGAGTGGAACTCTGACGGACTCACAACTCATGCGAGCCCACCCGGGAGGTGAACGTGTGTCGAACGAAGTACTGTCACTACTCCGGACGTTTCCCAACCATCCTACGGAGACGCTGGAAATGGTAGCGTTAAATGGAACTCCGTACCAGCTGATTCATCTTCAGAGAGGTAACGAGTCGATTTCCTACTGAAGCGTACCGAGATGAAACTGGGTTTGAATGGAGAGTGCCGTTCTTATACCGACACATTTTCCTTCACACACATTTTCTCTCCACTTAACTCCTTCATTCCCCATCTTTAAGCTCTTCTATCTTGCCAGTAATTAATCCAGATATTTTCAGAAATGTCTGTTGTAGAGCTTGAACCCAGATACCATGGCCGTATGGTCTCTGACGTAGAGCTAATTAATTAAGCTGTTGTTGAAATCAATTTGCCAAATTAATGTAAATGTGTGATGCTAAACTTTGATTCTGTTAATAAATGACCGCATTCATTTGATGGGTCAAAGAAAATTAACGTCTCACGTCACATTTAATTTCAATGCACGATATTATTCAGTCCAGAAAAATGAATGAATCCGTTTAATTTATGAATATATCACAGATATATGTTCATCTACAACAAGTTAACAAAGTTTACTTTGTTTGCGGTTAATTTTGTAGTAAGATTATAAAGCAAGAACAAATTAAAGCAAGAACATGCCATATTTTCCCAACATTTTGGAATTAGATTAGCATTTCTACAATACTTACACACTAAACTTACTTGTTTACATGCTGGGAACCAGTTTTGTAGAATATTATAGTTTATTTATGCACACAATTTAAAATGAACTGCTTCTTGCTTGTATTTTTTCATTTGAAATGATGAACTAACTTCAGTAATCTTTAATGTCTCTCCTTTTTCATCATGTTTTATGAAATTTAACTTTTTATTGCAATGTAGTAATGAAATGTTGTGGAGCACCAGATTCTGAGCCGTATGCGTGTTTGTGATGAGTTCAGCTCAACCCAACCTGAAGAAAGGAACAGAAAGCTTTAGCCTTAAGGAACATAGCAGGTAAAAAAAACATTCATCTCCAGCGCTGCTAACACGACACTACTCAGATTATAAACCCAGCATTTATGAAGGAATGCATTTAACCCTGTGCCTTTCATGCCAGAGTTTCAGACTCCAATCATCTTTAGATGCTGTTTTGGTCGACTCTTAAAAATAATATTACAGCGTGGTATATTGCATGATCTGTTAGCGCTCAGAGAAAGTGTTTTGAATAACAGCTACTGCAAACACATTCAAATGTATCTTCATGACTATAAAACAAACTGATTTAGAGCCATTTTTGGTTTGTCTTGGCTAAGGTCCATGATCTGTTGCAGCCGTCTTGGATCTATTGTAGATGCAAATCTAATAATTAGCTTCTGAGAGTTTAGCTAAAATCCTAACTTAATGTAAAAGATAAATGGGATTCATGAATGCACTCACAGGTGTGTGGACTTAACTCTGACCGTCATTCGTCTCTAGACCTTTAAGATTCAATCTGAACTCCTCCTGCGTTGGCCACTTTAGCTGCTGCAGCTAATCTGCTGGCAAGTTACGAAGGTAAAATCATCAGCCATGAACTTTTATATTGTTCATTTTAAACAGGGCTTGTATTTATTTTATTTATTTATTTATTTACAAAATCCTTAAATTTTAAACAACAAATGTTGTTTTCCACCATGTAACTTGCTGATGTGAAATATTACTTTACGTCTGGTCAAAGTTGTAAATGATACAGTACGCTGGTGTGCCATAAAAACAAAGTGTGTTTTGTTAAAGGTTGCAAACCCCTGAACTGCTGGAGCAGGGATCTGCAACCTGTGCCATGTGGCTCTTTGAAGCTCTCACCAAAACTAACAGAAACTTTTATTTAACTGGTTTTTATACCCACAACAGAAAATGGTAGTTTGAACAGCTTTTCCATCAGTTTTCTGTAAATATGTGAATAACACAGGGAGGGAAGCATGATTAGATTTACCTACTTCATATAGCCCATTTCCATCCATACAGTGAGACCTGTCTCTCAAATACTGGAATATTTATTATTAATAATAAATTAATAATAAAATAGTACATTGGAATAAGTTTAGGACAAGCTGTGTTGAAGAAACGTGGTGAGTCAGTTTGATAACAATAGGTGTTTAAAAAAATTCAACATAATTTAAGTTCAAGTAAATGGAAGCTTTAGATGTTAATATTTTAAAAAAGCAATATCACAACTACATATCCAACAAAATAGCCTTTGCATTTATGCTTTTTTACTTCAAAGTGGAATACTTAATTAATTTTTCCACAAATAAAAGGAGGACTCAAAGGATTCAAGGATTCAATAATTTTTAGTCACACCAGCTCACATTTTTATGTTTGTGGTACGAAATTAAGACTCAGGTCCCAGATCAAGAAGCCTAACAATTAACAAATAAATAAATACATAAGAGTACAAATATATATAATAAATAAAGTTAACAAAAATGGCTTGCAGAGTCTATTAGAGTATCGTTCAGAGTCTAAGAGCTTGCAGAATTCAGTGTTTTAATTCTTATCAAATCTGGTATAAATCACAACAATCTTTTGTTCTTTACATGAATATGGTCTTTTCACTGATCCTATAATGTAAATATCAATACGAATTTGTTTGTTTTTTTCTTTTTAGGCATGAAAAAAGCTAAAATAAACTTGAAGTGGTCGATTATCCACCAGTTGATAATCCCAGTTGCAGCAGGTTTAGTGGCTCAGGATACATTTCATTTAATGATGGAGCAGAAATTCCTCTTTTTTAATCACAAAGGTTGCAGCTTGTCAAAGGCCTGGCTCATGGCCCATAACAAGAATGAGGGGAGACAAAGGTATGGGCCAATTAAAATGGTTTATTGTACAAAAAAAATTATTTCCTCCCAGGCTCTCATTGAGGTGGCAGCTTCTGTTTCTCCTCCCCCGTTTTCCTTCTTCCTGCTCTGCTCTCTGTGTGTCTGAAGCGCCTGGGTCTCAACTCCCGAACATAAATTAAGAAGATTATGGATTTGGTATTGTGGGCGTTCAACTCTATTGATAAGATTTTTTCATCAAAACAACAAGGTCCTGAGGAACCGGCGTGTCCAGCTGAGACTCACGCTGTGGGGTACGTCATGGATTCGTGGGGAGTGTGGCAATCGATGTGCATTACAGTCTTGTCTCAGGAGGTTGTTGAAGACATTTACATATTTGGACTTATGATAGCAGGGACTCTGCTTTTTGGCATCGGCGGGGCTCTGTTTTATCAACTTTTGAAGAAGACATCGGCAGCAGCTTTGGCCATGGAAAAGCTTTCGAGTCAGTGTGAAGGTCTGGTACTCGCTGTAGGAACTTTAAATCGTTTGGTCTACGAGCTTAACCGTAAGGTGGAGGCGATTGAGAATCGCAGACCACCTGCGGCTTCTGGGACTCATCAGCGTGGTGGGTTCGACCTTGAAGGAGACTCATAGCATGGATCAGTGGAATGGAATCCCACAATTAGGCATTTTCGGAACCAGAACGCCCGGATGGACTCAAGGCTCAAGAAAAAAATCTGTCTGCCTGAAGAAAAAACAAAAATCAAAGCTTATCTGAATCAGACTCCCGACGGCCTCGGAGACGGGCTGACT